AAAAGATGTTACACTGGACATACAAAAGAAACTGGCTGATGTTTTAATAATTAAAAGGGACTTACGAACAATAAGCCAAGAGAGTGACCTGGATAATTTTTCTATATTGGTCTTACAAAAGAGACTTGTTAAAGCTTTGAAGAATCTCATTGGAAAGGACAAAGAAGAAATGAAAAGAAATCAAGTTCTATGACGTTATTTGAATGGAATAATGATTAAGATTGTTAAAAATAAAAGGAAGGAATATAAAGTTGGTTTATTTGATCAAGGTTAAAATAGATATGTTGTTATTTCTGGTAGCCCTTAATGGACTTTTGCTGACACCAAGACTGAAACGATGATTCTTTATGGATTTGTTTATAGATAAGAGATGAGATATGGGAAGAAGAGATCATTTGTTGTAATTTAAGAGATGAAAAGTTACTAAAATTGTTTATACTGGTGATAAAGCTTGGGAGTCACTTCTTTATATATTTCTTTTATTTTTCTTTACTACATTCTTTTCTTTTCTTTTTTCCTTTCTATTCTTTACATCTTTCTTTTTTTTCCCCCTTTGCGCCTTTTACTCTTCCTTTCTATTTTTCCATCTTTCTTTTTGTTTGTATTAGTTTTTACTACTGTAATTATAATCTTTAATAAAAGTACTTGAAAAAAATATCTAGAATAGATAGTTGTTGTTTACTCTGATTCCCTCCCAGAGAAACATAATGAAGGCTAAGGTATCTTTCCTATATCATTTATCCATTTAATTTCTCTGCAGTCTCCTTCATTCCTTCCTCATTTAACAGCCTTGAAGCAGAAAACTCTTTCCTTGGCTGGTTTTCTCCTTTGAATATATTTCTTTTATTTATTTTTTTCCCCATAAGCTTCTCAAATTCTTCTGCATTTCTTATTATCACCTTATACTTTTTCTATTAGAGCTTGCATTCCTTTTTGTTCTTATTGGGAAAGACTTCCCTTTCCTGAAGGAAGGCTTCATAACTTTTTTGCAAGTCCCTTCATTTTTGAAAAGTTCCCCCCTTTTTAGTCAAATACAACTGAGTTGGACCCTGATGGTAGCTTCCCACTTGCATGTTTGCTGAATGCAAGAGCATTATGGTCACTGATTCCTACTGATTCCACAACAGTTACACCTTGCATTGGATCATTACTTAAGATTATATCTAGGGTGGCCTCCCTTGCAGTTGTTGTCAAGCCCAGCTGTTCTATGCCTTGATCATTTAAGGTGTCTAAGAAATGTAAATTCTTTGTCATGTTCTGAGCAGTCCATGTGAGGGTGACTGAAGTGAATTTCTCCTTTGCATACCTCCCTGATTCCTTCCCATACCACCATCAGCATTTTGATCAGATGGATGATAGCATAAGATTCTATGGAGGGACCTGGTCTTCCATTGTTTTCTGGTATGTTACCTTTTAAACCTTCTTTGGCTATGGAGAGTGACATCTCCCCATTGTATCCTTCCCTGTCCTTTCTATAAACTTTGTATCCCAGAAGGACTGTAGCACACTGATTCTCTCTATTCTATCAGGTTTCTTGTGTAGCCACTATATTTATGTTCTTGTTCGCAATAAAATACTCTAATTCACCCATCCTAGCTCAGAAACTTGGAGCACTGGTATAGAACCATCTATAAATGGTGTCCTTTTTCAAATGTCATTGTCCTGTCATTGGTTCCTAGTCCTAAATTGCAGCTGGCTTAGGATTTGGGTAGTGTAGAATTCATTTCAAATCTAAATTCTTTATTCAGGCTATGCCTTAAGGAACCAGAAGCTACAAATAAGCTAAAGAAGTGGTGTGCTTCCCTTTGCTGAATGTGTTCATGCAGAGACTAGACAACCAGCTCAACACAGAAATCTGGATTGGTGGCCCTTTCCGACTAGATTTGATGAGCCAGTTTAGGTTAGGGCCAAAAGTTTGTTATTGTAGAGAACCATGGAGGTGACCTTGAAGCAAACATTCAGATATCATTACTTTAACAAAAAGGACAGAAGCATTATTTAACGGGAAGGGAGATAGTATTAAGAAGAGACTCAGGATGGATCCTCCATGACTTACTGGGATATAAGAGGAAGGAGAAAAAAGCGTCATCAGATCTGCAAAATTCCAATAGCCTATCTCAATAGCTTATTTCTAGTCCTTCTGTGGTTTCAGAGCTGGTCTACTTCATTCAGGTTTGAGATCAAACCTTCATCCAGGTTTCAGATCTGGTCTACTTCATAGGGCTGATGGATACAGTTAACCGGTTAGCTACAATTAGGGAAGGGCAGTACATTAGTGCTATGGTACACTCTTCATAGACAGAAGTCCTTGGTTAGGTCCCTACATCTGCAGGTAAAGCTGGATAAATTCTCCCTTGAATTCCTGGACAGCTGCTGCTAGTTAACATCAACCCTACTGAACAAGTTGGACCAATAGTCTGACTCAGAAGAAGGTACTTTTTTATGTTTGCAATTTCTAGGACATGCAACGTTGCCCTCAAGGAATTTCAACAGTGGCTTATAGCAGCAAGTAACTAACTATAATTCTGATTATCTGACTGACAGTTCCTGTTCTCTCATTCAGACACAACCTTTGACAATCTACCTTTGAACATAAAAAGAAGAGGTTGTATAGACAGAAAGGAAAACATGCTTCCAATCTCACCTACCTGTTCTTTGACGAGGAAGGAAGATTCCCATTAAAGGTGCCAATATGTGCCAATCTTCAGCCAGTCGTTCCTGCGTCGTTTTCCATTCTATTCATTTTTCCAGCCTGACCCTTACCCCATGCTGCTCCGATCAGTCCTTTTCCACTATGTTTTCTACCTCTTTTGGGAGGGCTGCCTGAAACTGGTACCCAGCACAGAATAAAGGATGATAATGAAGCTTAGGAACGCCACCACTTTCTTCTCCTCCTCCTCCTAAAGCACACCCACAATGCTTTAAAAAAACCAACAAAACCGCACAGGGTTGTTTGCTTGTTAGCTAAGGGGGAGATAACGGGCCCGTCTTCTCCATCAGTGGTGTTGGCTCTAATGCAGGAAATATAGCCCCAGTTTAACTTCAGGGATCAACATTTCAACAGGGTATCTTAAAAGCTTTGGTAACTCAAGAGACAAAGACTTTGGCAAGATATCTGGAAAGAGTACCTTAGAGCTTCTGGCAGGGTCATCAGAATCCCACTCCCCATCTTAGCTTCTCTAGGTGACGACTTAGAGATATCTCTATATTTTCTTCTCCCTCCAGAGCTTATCTAAAATGTTCTATAGAGCTGAGGTCCTCTATCCGCACAGGTCTCCTTTAACTTAATGGGCTTACTTCTGAGTAAACCTCTGCCGATTGTAGCATAAAATCACTTTTGACTCGGTTCCCTCACTTTACTCCTAATAATGCCCATCTCTCTTCTTTCCTGTAAAAATAAGTGGTGATGAAAACGCAACCTCGTTAATTTCTTCCCGCAAGGCTGTGATTAAAGGCAACATAGTTTTCCAGGTACGGGGTGGAAAAAAGTTAGCAAGTGTAAATCATGTCTGCATTCTGCCTGTTCTAGGCCTTTATATCCACTCCTCTTAATTATTATTGTTAATATTTCATGCAACGTCACCCCATTCACTAACTGGGCTTGCAGACACTTTTTGGAGGCAATAGGTTAAATCTATAGCTAATTATTTTCTGCAATACTCACCAAATTATTGTTGCTTTCATTTCCTTCCCCCCACCTTCACTTATTCTCTCCTGGTGTTTTATAGCCCCTCAGGTTGAGACCCTCAGCAGGAGCTTCCTCATTAGCACATATTTGTCCCTAGGATGTGGCTGTTATTGCCACTTTCACCCATTTCAGATGTCCTCACCTTCACTGGTCGCTGAGCATTCAAGGCACCATGGAGATACCAGCCACGGGGGAGAATTCGTTAGCACAAAAGAAGTCCACACACTTGCTGGCCTTCCCCTTCATCTTAGCACCCCGAGCGAACGTCCTGCATTATAAAGGCAATTATAAAGTAATTGGTCGTCGTATTTGCCATTAAACACAGCCTCTCTGCTCCCAGAAAGAAAGGTGGGAAGACGAGAATGAGAAATAATTGTTGAGTCAATGCAAAGGTTTAACCAATATCGCCCTCTCCTTTCCAACTTCCTGTGCTCAACAATCTAGCTCATTATCAGCTGTTTGGCTGCTGATATGAATACCTCAGAGGGCAAAGTCAACTGCTTGCATGTTAAGAGCCATCACGCAAAATAATAAGGAAAGGGGGTAAATTTGTTGTCAGGGCTGTTTTATGAGGAGCAAACTTTCAGGGACCGTGGTGGTGGAGGGCTGAAAGGAGGCCATAAAAGCAAAGCAGAAACAAAGCAATAGCAGGGGAAGGGAACAATAATCTTATAGTATCTCAGTATTCCTCTTTCAGGCAGTTGAGATCTTGGGAAAGAGCGTATCACCTGGGAAAACAAGCTAAAACTGGAATCAATAACCTTCAGCCCTCTGGGTTTCTCTTAGCATAAAGTCTTTGTTTGTTTGGATAGAAATCGCTGTTAATTCCCAATCTTACTTCATGATGTATATGGTATTGACTATTACCATTGATATTCATATATTATTTGGATCTCAGCACTGATCAGTAGTTTTTAAAACAATACAGTATACTTTTCTTTGTACATTTAAGCTAATTAATAAAATACTGATAATTTTTACTTAACTCTTTGATGCTTGCAAGCTCCCTCTTTATTGGCATTGTGTTTTATTATCTTTGCCTTTTTTCTTTTTGTTGCTTTGCAGGGGGCTTTTCTTATTCCCCCCCCCCCACTTTTCCTTAAAATGCCTATTTTAAAAAATAGAAAGAGATAACATTCGCTCACAAGTCTCATACACCCTATCCCGCCCCACTCTGGATCCAACAGATCTCTGTGATTGCATCCCCAAATTTTGTCAGCAACGTTCTCATATTTCAACTATACATGCTTTTTTAGTTTTAAAACTGTTTTTAGTTTTAAAAAAGAAGGGCAGAAAGGGTGGGCTCAGCCTCTGTGAAGCAAAATACTGCCATTCTTAAAGATGATGATTCTCACCTTAAAGCCTCCACTCTCTCTGAACAACCAGGAAAAAAAATGCTCCCCCCAGCCCCATGCCTTCTGGAATATCAGTGCTCCCTGCCCCTTCTGGCCTTCAAAACTTCCTTTCCTTTCCTTTCCTTTCCTTTCCTTTCCTTTCCTTTCCTTTCCTTTCCTTTCCTTTCCTTTCCTTTCCTTTCCTTTCCTTTCCTTTCCTTTCCTTTCCTTTCCTTTCCTTTCCTTTCCTTTCCTTTCCTTTCCTTTCCTTTCCTTTCCTTTCCTTTCCTTTCCTTTCCTTTCCTTTCCTTTCCTTTCCTTTCCTTTCCTTTCCTTTCCTTTCCTTTCCTTTCCTTTCCTTTCCTTTCCTTTCCTTTCCTTTCCTTTCCTTTCCTTTCCTTTCCTTTGTTGTCGACATCTAGCTGACAAATGTAAACAGCTTCAAATACTTGGGAAGCATCATCTTGAGCGATGGGTCATTGGACAAAGAAATTGACTCCAGGATCAGCAAGGCCAGCCAGGCACTCGGGCAGCTGGGTACTAGAGTGCTCAATCAACACAACATCCATATCTCCACAAAGCTGAAAGTCTACAACACTGTGGTTATCCCTTCTCTCCTAAATGGATGTGAGTCCTGGACTCTGTACTGAAGACACTTCAAACAACTGGAGAAATTTCACATGCGCGCTCTCCGCTCCATCCTTGGTATTCGTTGGCAAGACCATGTCTCCAACCTGGAGGTCTTGGATCGCACAGAGTCCCTGATTATCAGAGCCCAGATGCGGTGGGTGGGACATGTCATCAGAATGGATGACCATCATATCAGTTGCTCTATAGTGTACAGGAGTCTGGGAAGAGACTTCGAAGTCAACCACGCAAGTGCTACAAAGACACTGTGAAACCCTACGCCACTGTGACATCCAGCCAAGGGAACTAGATGCTGTGGCTGCTGACAGAACCCGCTGGCGAGCCCTGTGCTATGAAGCCTCCACCGGTTTTGAAGACAGGCACCACCAAAAACTGAGAGAAAACCGTGAGCGGTGTCACAGAATAACACCCACAGTTTCTACAACAGTGGACTTTCAGGGCCCCCCTTGTGCTAGACCCTGAGCTTCCAGACTGGGACTGCAGAGCCACCTCCGTGTCCAAAGATAAACTGCAAACAGTGTGTCTTCTCTGAACCCGAAGGACTACCATATACTGTAATTGAATAAAAATACAATACAGTTCTTATTCCTCGTGGTGGGGAAGACTATGAGCAAGTGGATCATGGGGCTGCAATCAAAAGAAATACGAATAGAGTTGGGCTGTATATTTATTACATGACTTGTGATTTAATAAATCCACTATTCCTAAGTGATGTAAACTTTAAGTTTCAATCCTAAACCCACTTACTAGGGAGATTCAGTAAATATAAGGGGGCTTGTTTTCTCACTTCTGAGTTAACTACGCATAGGATAGTTCTGCAGATTGATTGTTGGAGGCAGGTCTGGGTCCTTGGAACAGCAAGAATCAGGCATCCAAGCCCTGCTCTGTCCTCTTCCTCCAAAAGTGGAATCAAAAGCCTCTTTCCAGACCTCCATGCCTCACCTCAAACTGCTTCTCACACTAGGGTGGCAAAACAAACTCTGTGCATGAGCAAAGATCACTCTCATGTTCACAGGTGAGTGTGAGAGGCCAAGCCTTGCACAGAGGGAGGTGTTTTTGTCCATAATTTCTTCACTGGCCCTCTTGGCTCCTGTGTCAGCTTTCTTCTGCTGAAAGGACCAGAAAAGGGTCACCTCTTCTGGAGTGAGGCCTGTTGTGCCCAGAAAAATGTTCAGGGTTATTTCATTTTGCACACATTCATGTCCATCCAGATTGAAATGTCTGTTTTCAATCAGGAAGACAGGTTGGTATATGAAGGCGGTCACATGTAGACCTAAGATACTGGTGAGCTCTCTTTCATGGGAAGTGTTCAGAGGCTGGACAGTCAATTCTCTGAGATAATGTAATGTGGATTTTGAACTGAGCAGTGAGTTGGACTAGATGCTATATGATCCCTCCAATTCTGTGGTTCTATGGGGAACCTATATGAACGTTCATCAACAACATTTTAACTAGCCAGGTCTCTTTGTCCTCCATATTTATAAAACACGAACAGCATTCATGAGCTTATTTTGGATAATAGAGGAATGACATCATGCATTTCATCTTACACATGCTAGCAAGAGCTAATATAAATCATAATTTATATTAAAACTTCACTGAAACAGTCAAGATATTGGAAAAGGGAAAAAAAAATCCCTCTTGGACAGGCTCAGCTCAAAACCCAGGGTCTTTCATTCTTCTTGAGAGAGCAAAGTTGAGTATTTGTAAGTTGAACTGTGGGGTTTTCTGACCCACATCTGCTGTAGTGCTGCTGCTGTTCCCTCTTTGTTTATTTTTCTGCAAGAGGTTGGCGCTGGTGTACAAATTAGGCACGGTGGGTGGGAGCCCCTTGCTGGCTTGGGGCTTGGATTTGGGATAGCAGCCAAGGGAGGGCATGGGCTGTTCCCCCCAAATCACACAATCTTGCCCTCCCATCCCCAAATGGTGTCTGGCTACCAGGTGGAAGGCATAAGGGAGGGGGGAAGCAGCACACAAAAGCAGAGAGCAGGAGAGCTAGTGATGGTCGTATTTCCAGCACCCCATCTGCAAGCTGTGTGAGGCAGAAGGACGCCCTGACATTTGATCTGAAGATCTCATGGAACAGTTGGTCTAGGCTCCGGCAACATGGGATCTGAGCTCAAGAGGAATTTATCCTCGGTGCTTTTAGGGTGTGTGACTTGCTGGCAAGAGGAGCTACAGAACATCCCCAGTTTTGGCCTCCCCATGGGACAAGGGGGGGCAAACTGCAGCTCAAATATGGCCTCCCTGGCCCCATTTCTGAAACCCCCCATTTTCATTCTGCTAGAATTTAGTGGCAAATCACTGCTTTTCAGGAGCGCAGCTTTCATATTTTTGAATGACCATAAGGGGCAAAAGAAGTGCATTAAGATTTCTTGAAGTCATCTGTTGATGTGGCCATAAAACAAAACCCAACCAGGGGCAACCAAGGGTGTCTATGTGTGTGTCAAGAAAGTCAAAATGGCAGCCATGATCATATGGCCACCATCTTGACTTTTTCACACATGCACACATACACACACACCTGTGGACACCCCATACCTGGGAGCCTGTCCAGCATCCTCATGCAACTTGTTTCCTACCTTTCAGTGTGATAAAAATGTTCTCTCTTTGCCAGGGTTGAAGTAAAGGTTCAACAGTTTCTGCACACAGACTGGGGAGGAAGCCATCTTGTTCTCCACCTCAAGCTGTAACAAGTTTGGGGCCGGCCCTGGCCCTTATGGCAGTGCCTCCCATTTGCAACCTCCAAGGGACAGTTTAAACTTCCAGGGACCTCAAAAGAGCCATATCCCACCACATCATTGCTACCCAGAAACCAAGGTTTATTTCAAGGGCTATCCAGAACGAAGGGTCTGCTGTGCAAATGGAGGATTGTTGTACTGTAGAGAACAACCAACACAGTTGAGAGACAGAACTCAAGTGAAAAGCTGTATATCAAAACATAACACCAGAATGAGATGCCAGGGAGGAATAGTGTCTACGCCCCCCAAAGTATTCTCTTTAGTCATCATGTTTCTAGACACCATGAGTGAGAAGATGACCTGCACAGAGGAGCTGTAGGGGGGAAAGCTTGCCACCCAGCCCCATGGCATCTCACCAGGAGAAATCTGGTTTCCAAGGCAACCTGGAAACGTGGAGCTCCCAATTTTCAGGGAGCTGACTGTGTGAGGAAAAAACTTTGCATGTGCTCAGATGCGATATTCCTTATTCCACCTTTGTAAGATGTGATCCAGGACTTCCTGTCCACTGCCTCAAGCCCAGACATTGTTTCTGGGGTCTTGCCCTGTCCCCAGTCTGAATGCTTAGATTGCTCTCCAAGAAAACCCCATGCATTGGAGGGTCGTGAGGTTAGACAAACCCAGCAGCGCCACACAAGTTTGCTTTGGCCAAGTTCTGGATTGCTGACGAGGATTCCCCCTCCACACGCTCTGCTTCCTGGCTCAGCAGATCCATGCAGCTCAAGCCAGCAAGAACCTCTTCTCAAGCCAAGCCAGGGATTAATGAAATGGCGGTAAGGATGGAGAAGCTGGTGCTGGAGGCGAGAAGGAGGGAGGGACATCTAAAAGCAGGAGGGACTGAGACCATCCCTGAAGTGAGGAAAGGAGGGGGCCAAAGAGAAGGGGCACTAAACAGCAGTGACGCAAACATGAGTTCAGGATACAGCAACACACAACGGAAGAGGGGCATTAAGCAATCCAATGCGTTAAGCATTGGATGATGGATTATGGAGTGTTCCTCCCACCATACTGTGGCTCTGCATATCCCTGAGTGTCTTGAAGAAGGATCTGAAAATCTGTTTATTCAATAAAGGAGACAGACTGGTGGAAGTGGCTATGAACAGATGCTAAGAATAGTAATAGGGCTGTTTTGCTGTAAATCTCACTAGTAAAGGCAGATGGAAGGTAGGTTTAGAATTTTATAATTGTACTGCATTATCTTCACTGCGATCACCAATGTATTCTGCTTGATTTTATTCCTTTTGTATAATTTTAACTGCTGTTTAGTGCCTATTGGTTAATTTTGCAAAATTGTGGTTGGGCTGTGCCCTCGTGGGGAGGGTGTTATAAATAAAAGTTCTGTTTGTTTATTTGGTCCCCAGACCCTTGCTTCTGTTCACACCCACGCCAATGAAACACACTAGTGGTAAAGCACATATGCATTCAAACACCCCACAGGATGATATGCACATGAAATTCTGAGAGACATCTAACCGAAAACAGACTGACACCAACATTTCACATCTGCACAGTGTTTCATTCACAGCCAAGAGACTTACATCTCACTTACGAGCATCGCCTTGTCAAATAACATATTTGCTACAGACATAAAGCAAATGGAACCTGGGCCTTTCTGGAAGGAGCCACTTAAGTGCAACCCTGTGCTCAATGCAGGAATCCAAATTAAAGTATCTCTCACAGATGGCCGTCCAGCCTCTGCTTGAACACTTTCAGTGAAAATTAACTCACCAACTAACTCAGTAAATTGTACTGCTGACAAACAGCTGTTCCTTTTAGGAAGTTTTTCCTAACATTCAGCCAGAATCTGCCTTCCTGTAATTGAGGACCATCATTTTATATCCTCCATTTTGAGACAAAAACAACTGTTTTTGACCTTCTACAGGGCATCCCTTTGCAGGCTTGAAAAGCATTACAATAACCACACCACTTTTTTTTTTTTTTGAGAAAAGCGTATTTTCTCAATGCTAAACAAATCCAGTTCTTTCAGTATTTCCTTAGGACTTATTTTCCATCCTCCTTTCCCGTTTTTGCACCAGTTCTAGTTTCACTAAATCTTTCTTAAAATGTGGTGCCCAGGACAGAATGTTCTTCATATGCTAGATTTCTGAAGCAAAATCTAGCCAATGAAGAATAATTATAACTGTAATTATTACCTTCCAAGATTTGGAAATGTATGTCTTATACATGTATTTGTTTTGAAATTGATATTTTCACCTTTCTTTTTATGGGGCACTCAAAGTAGCTTACAACTATTAATTTGATCAATGCTGCCTAAAATCTATTTCCCTTTCTGGAACCCCATCACATTATTAACTTTGAACAGCTACATTTCACAATCCTTTTTATATACAATATTTCCAAGTCAAATATCTCACATGCTATACCTCTGCATTTGATTTCCTTTTGCCAGTGAAGAACTTTGTTTGCATCTATCTGAGTTAAATTTCATTTTGCTATTTTTCAGTCAAAATCCTTTTAAATGTAGGTGCCTGTCTTCGAGAATATTAGTATGCCATCTTGTTTTCAATAATGTGAAAATCTGGTAAGAATTCCTTCTACCGATTCATCCAAACCATGAATGAAAAAGTTGAAGTAGTAAATTTTTTTTTAAAGCATTACCTTGTTACTTGGGGGTTGCATTTCTGTGACAGTCACAAAAATTAACATGCAATATGACTAATGCTGCCTACAAATCCTGTGTTCATTATTTGACTTGTTGAACATGAGTGTGCAACCCGTATCATTAAAAAATATGTACCGTAGCTACTGTGTAGATATTGCCCAGTGTGACTAGGTTCACACAACATGCTAAGCTTAGATGGGGTGGGCTGTTTATAGTTAAATACAGTTGATTTGTTTTGGACAGTTTGATTAAAACTAGGATAGTTTGATGAACATTAAATCTGGCATATTTAAATGATGTAATAGCGAGAGTGTGAATAGACGGGTAGACATGAAAACAAAATCAAAGACAAGAGTATGGAAAAGCTATCTGTTGCCATCACCTTATTCTAGTGTAGGAAACAGATGGGTCAAAAGTCATGGATTATTTTTATTTCACTCCTTTTCATCTAAGGTCTGTCTTTCTGTGTCTGCATTTATGAGTTTCTTTTGTCCATTGATCAATACAGTCCCCTTCTGTCTTTCTATCTCTTGGTTATTTTTTCTTTCTCCTGGTTGGCATCATTCCATGGAAAGTTGTATAGTTATGCCAGCAGGGAGTTGGACCCTGAGTGTATGTCTGTTTGGGGTGGAGGAGGTGGAGAAAATTCTGTCTGTTTCCATCTTCAGACCAATCAGACCCCTAAATGTTGTCCCACCACCCGCCCTGTAGTCCCTGTTGCTGACGTGCTGTCAGAGTCCCACCTCAGGGTTGAAATAAACAGGCTTCTCAAAATAGACGGGAGCTGCACCAAGGTTCAACCCCAACATACCGATATTAGCAGGGTGCGAAGAATGTGAGAGAAGAGAATTTGCAAACTCAGATACACACAGATCCTCTTCACACACAGGAGACCTTGCGCCATCACCGGCTTTGAGTGTGTAGAGGAAAGGAAGAAGGGAACAAGGATTGGAAGAAAAAGCTTCTTCATGTCTGTATTCAAACCAGTGACCATATGCATCAGAGACAAGAGAGATGGGGGGAAAGTGACCCCCCCAAAATATCCTTTACAACCTCAAACCAATTTTTTTAATACAGCAATAGGATGGAGCAAAAAGAAGAATGGGAAGGATCAAGAAGAAAACAGATAGACTTATGGATGGAGCAGTAGACCAAAACGTAGAGAGACAAAGAGATGATAAGATATGTGCCAAACTTAATTGATAAGTAGAAACAGAGACTGATGGACATCTAGTACGCTTTCCTTGAACTCTCTCCTGAGGACTAGAATGTTAAAAAATTCTTCTGAGCAACTTACCCTGGACCATTTCCCCATGATGACATCATCAACAAACTTTTCTTCGTGGCTACTGCTAGGTAATGGCTCCTTATCAGAAGGAGGTGAATCAGCTGCAGTCCTAGGAGCTGTGTTGAGTCTGATGTGTGTTACTGGGGTGGCCGGCAACCTCTATGCCCTGGCAGTAGTGCGGGCCTCAGCCTCGGCCTCCTCTCTGTACGTCCACCTGGTTAACCTAGCCTTGGCTGACCTTTTGTATCTCTTGACAGCCCCCTTCATTGTTCATAATGGGCTGGTGAAAGATTGGCCTTTTGGGGAGGCTGGGTGCCGGATTCTGCTCAGCCTAGACCTCCTCACCATGCATGCCAGCATCTTCTTGCTGACCCTGATGAGCTGTGAGCGCTACACTGCCGTGGTGCACCCGTTCCAGGCTGCCAGCCGTGCTCGGCGATGCAGCCGACCTCTGGCCATTGCTGTTTGGCTCCTGTCCTTTGCTCTGGCCCTCCCCATGATGGTCATGATTCACCAGGAGGAGCGTACAATGGGGAATGGAGCTGGGGTACGCCGCCTCTGCTCCCCCACCTGGAGTGAGGAGCAGTACAGAGTGTACCTGAGCATCCTTTTTGGCACCAGCATAGTGGCACCTGGGATAGTCATTGGGTCACTCTACTGGCGCCTGGCAAGAAGCTATTGGCTGTCGCAGACCCGTGGAGGCCTGGGACGTTCCCCCAAGAACCGTGTCTTCCTCCTCATCCTTGTGATTGTCTTGGCCTTTTGGGCCTGCTATTTGCCCTTTTGGATCTGGCAACTCCTTCCCCTTTACTGCCCATCGGCAGCCCACCTGCCCATCCACACGGAGATCTCTGTCAATCACCTGGTGACCTGCTTGACCTACGGGAACAGCTGCATCAACCCTTTCCTCTACACTCTGCTCACACGCAACTACCGTGAATACCTACGTACTCACCGACGAGGGGCTTCCTGGGGCTTTCTGCCATGCCTCCAGAGCAGAAGCGGGTCTCAGAGGGAAGGGGCTACAGTCGCCTGAGCAGATACAGGTAAGCAATGGGGGACACTGGAGGAATGCCCAGATGAGTCTTGCTCACAGGTGGCACGGGGGTAACTCAGAGAATCAGGATTGAGAACTACTAAGGTTGTTTTTCAGATGTTTGGGACTACAACCCAATCATCCCCACAACGCATCTGGAAAACAAGAGAATGGCACAGCCAGTGTGCCCAGGTCATGCGTTAAGGTGATCAGTAGGAACCCTAATTCTCCACCGGATTAGGTTGCCTCCAATTCTTTGTAATGTGCAGATCAGAGAAACCACATTAATTGCGTCATTAGCAATTAGCATATATGTCAAGTTTTCCCCTTATTCCAGACCCTCCCCAAAACGCTTAGTAATTTTTCCCTTGGGGGAGCTCTGCAAGAAGAAATAACTCCTGCTGAGTAAAAAGAAGCTGGGAGAAGATTTGGCCTCCTCTCCATCTATAATGCAAGGTTAATCTCTCCTCTGCCTCCATTGTGCAGTTGTCCTGCCTCCATAATCTCTAGATCAGAAAAGATCCACCAGTACCAAAGTCAAGTTGGGATTGTAAGAAATGAGGTGGTAGGAAAACGGAATGCAAAATTAAAGATGGAGAAAACTGTACTGGGCTACCTCTTGTCCTCATTGTTGAGCCAGAGATAAAAGCCCTTAGTAAAAATTGTTTCTGCTACCAGCTCATTCTCGGTGCTAGTAGATGGGCCTTTTAATAATTTATGCAATGGATTGAGCAAGCTCCTTTTTCTACCCAGTTGGAAGATGAGTCAACTTCACAGTAAAAACAGGATGGACATTTAATTGGTATTCAGCTGTAGCATTTGTATTCCATCTCTCTGTAAGAAACTGCTTGCCCGCCCAGTCAATGGCAATGACTGAAAACCGTGTAATCCCTAATTGCCCCGAGTTTCTTCCTTCTCAGCCCCACAGTTAGATTACAGATTGCAGAATAATAGGGAGTTTCTAATTAAAAAAGGATCATAACCTAAAGTACAGCTCTCCAAATAAAGATGGTCAGATTGGTGCTGCAAATTTTATTTTAACATTCTTCCTTCAGCAATAAAATAAAAAGGAAGGAATGCAAACTGATTTCTAAAATGAATTGAGAGAACGTAATCAGGTTTAAGGAAGTCATAGGAAATCTGCCAATAACACTTCCCAATTTTTGGGAAATATGCTGAACGGTTTTCTAAGGCGCATGATTTTTAATCACTGTATATTTAGGATTAGAAAATATTAATAATGGGTTTATTTGAATACACACAGAAAAAAGATTTTTAAAAATAATATAGTGTGTCATAGAAGTAAAGGTTCCGTGTCTGATCATATTTTTAAGGTTTTATATGACACATTCACACCCAGACATATGAGCATGTTTTTTTCTTAGTTATAAACTGAAGGAAGAAAACACACACACTTGCCTTGATTTTGAACTTATCAAAATCAGTCAGTTTTCTGCTGCTCTAACAAAACCAGAATAATGAATATGTGTATTCTTGTGACAGTAGTGCATTAATACAACACCAAGTTCCTCTTTATTCTTATCATTAATTTCATCACAAGTGTCTTGCCATTCTCTTTCACATAAGAAAAACTAGACTGCATACCGCCCACGGTGACTCTTTGGAATGCTGAAAATATTAATCTGGCAAAGAAACTAAAATTGTGCATTTCCTCTGAAAATGCTTTGCTAATTTCCTATCTTTAAATATTGGAAGTAAGTCCCTACAGATTCAGCTTCCAACAAGTTCAGTTGGATAAATAGGGCCATCTAATTCCTAAAATGTTGCTGACTAACAAGAAAATTTGAGCTCTCTTTTGAACTTGCAAGCAAAGCTTTACATTGTGATGGGTGCTCCCCAGAACAGAAAATCCCACTTTTAATTTGTTATTTTTGTAATAATACATTAACTTCAAACTCTAATCCTACCCTCACTTACCTGGAAAAAAATCCTATTGAGTTTATATAGGATTTACATCTATGTAAGAATATAATGTGTTGGGATTTAAGCTTAGAGTAAGTCTGCTGAAATTCTTGGAAATGGGCAATCACAAAAATTGCTCTTTCCATTTTTTTTCACTGAATAAAGATTCTTTATTTTCTAGATTAGCTAATATATTATGCATTATTTTTAAGGCACTAAGATCAAACACACATTGCCCAAATTATTTATTTACCTGTAAAAACATTAAATCTAGGAACATTCATAATTTCTAATTAGGTAATTTGGAATTCTCGGGGGGCTAGACATTGAACATTATTATTATTATGGTTGGTTGAACAATCAGCCAGGTGTTTAGACTGGATTTGGCATTTTTATCCACCATTATTATTATTATTATTTCTCCAAATATAACATTATTCACTGCAGTAACCTTTCTTTTGTTAAGATATAGATAAATAGATAATAGAAAGATAGTTTGGGGTCCCAGGCAAATAGGTATATATTTAAAGAGGTTAATGCTATTATTTTCACTTTTTAAATGTATTACAATAAGGTATGCAAATTATATAAATAAATGACATAATTTGTAAATGTAATTCCTTTTCCCCCAAGAAAATGGTTCCTATTCTGAAATCAATATATTTAGAATTGTAGCAGCAGAAATTAATTCTATATTAATGTTTGGTTATAATGGTGCTGTTTTAAATGAGCTAAAATTGTGAAATTGCATCAATGCTAATAATAATTACAATCAAGCAGAATTGAAAAACAGCATTTGCTTTGTTCTGAATGTAATATATACAGGAATACAGAAGACGTTGTGATATATAAAACTGTAGGACAAGGCAAGAGATTCTATGGCTGAGGTAAAATACACGGAGGGTGTGTATAACTTTTTGAGGGGCATAAGACCATCGTATCCAGGGTCTAAAGTGACTTAGCTTGTTATTTGGAACTAGTAGAGCAGAGTTCCAAATTGGGAAAATGGATTCTACACAGTCTTAGGCCCCGATTCTTCTCTTTTATAATTAATCTTGTTGCTTTTCACCTTAATTTCACTTTAATGCAGATTTCGTGTCTTTTCTGTCTTTAAGGAACGAAGAAATGTATCTCAGATGCTTCTGTCTGAGCTTTCCCTTGTCTTACATCTTCTTCATCCATGCTTGATGAAAGAAAGCGTGCCTTTGGACAAAAATGTAGCACAACATTCTTTGTTAAACATTTCATTGCTGGGGCAAAAGCAGAACTTCTGTGGCCACGTCTAGAGGCTGCTTGCCTGTTCTAGAATAGAATTTCCAGGTTTTTATGCACACCAGTTTTGTAAGCAACCAAAGAGCAGAAAGTTAAACGGTAAAGGTGTTTCCTCATCATTTTGGTGCATGCCAATGGACAGTTTTAGATTTTTGTACAGGGATGAATAATACTTAACTTGGGCACCACCTATTTCAGTGAAGTCTATCCTGGGCTCTTAAATCTTCAACGGGAGACCTTTTGTCAATAGCTGCTGAAAATATTTGTAATCTCAGCATCAAACTCTACTTTTCCCATGGCAGATCCTAAATTATGAAACAATTTGCACTGGAGTAGAGGCTCCTCCCTGTTGAAGTTTAGGAGGGGGTGAAAAAGTGTAATTTTTTTTTATGTTACTTGTTTTTACTGGTTGGTTAGATTGGATTTTATTGTAAATAAATGTTTCTAAGCTGTCCAGAGCAACTAAATGGAGTGGGTGGCATATCAGTGTTTAAATAAATTAACTAAATATTTCCCCAAGTTAGAAGGATAATTTCTCATTGTTTTTTTTTCTCTCTCTTCTAAGCAGCCATTCAGTGCGCACTTCATGTTGGTTTTATGTCTGCTTTTTAATTTTTATTGGGGGGAGGCAGGTAATAGGTTTATTTCAGGCTGGACAATCCACAAGTCTAGGACCAAATTCCGCTAATGAATATCTCTGGTTTCTGTGGTTCCCAGAAATCCCCAGGATTGCACTCCCAAGTAACATGACATGATTTTGTATAATGAGTTAAGCCCATGACAACATGCCAATTAATGTTTCATGTTTATATGGTTTCTAAAAATAAAGTCTCCTTCACACTGAACTTAGCTTCTGGAAACTTCATGGGCATGTCCATTTAATTTTCTTCTTCTTCTTCATATAATAATCTTTCAGTAATACAGAAATGGTTTACCACTGCATTCCTGCAGGATGTTTTTCGACATCCCAGCCTAGACTAAATCCTTGGTATTTTTGGTGTCTCTCATCCAGGTATAATAAGGTCTAGAAGTATCCACAAGGGGGTAAAAAAAAGTCAAGAGGGCAGTTATGTTCCCATGATCAAAACTCGAACCCTTTGTGTAAATGTGTAAAAAAAGAATCAAAGCTTTTATTGCACCTTCACAATGACCATCTTGACTTTTTAACACCCCTCCCCCCTGCCTAATTCTGGCATGCTGCTGCTTAGCTGAGCTATGTGATTTCTGCTTGTGTGCAACTGTTCCACATCTGTTGCACTATTTCCTTGCACTGTTAAAAGATACAGTAAATATATTTTCCCCAATATCCCCCAGTTGCCCCTTCATAGCAGGATAATACTTCTGTTCTGACTCCTCCTTGGTAGTGTACATGAAATGAAATCCACTTATCTCACTTTCTCATGCATGGATCGTCATTACCCATCTCTGCACGACAACACTGCATCAACTGATTCATAGGCTATGGGTGCAAAACTTTTTCTGTGACTTTCCAGTGCAAGAAATATTCCATGGCTACGCATCCTGGTAGCCTCCAATGTGTTGAATTACAGCTCTCCAAGTTCCAAGACAGAGTTGTAGCCCACGGAGCATCTTGGGTAAGGCTTTGTTATTTTGAGTTCAAGAAGAAAATTTAGGTACAACACACATTTATGGAAAAAAAGGTAGAACTGAAAGGTGACTTTAATGTCAGAAGATATTTCCAAATCAGCAGCATTGCCTGGCTCCTCAAGTAGATGATGCTATCAATTACTTCCCACCTTTCCACACACAGTGGAAGCCAACGTCCACTGCTAATATTCCAAAATAAGATGCAGATAATTACAACTACATAAAATGTTATTAGAGTGGATCCAGGATCAGGGATGTCCACAAGGGGTGTCAAGATTGTGGCCACAACCACACAACGGAAGCCCCACTCATTCTTTCCTACACTGTACATATGTGATGCGTGCAAGTAAAGAGCAGGATTTCAATCAGACGGTCATGGCTACCGTCTTGACTTTTTTTGACTCACTCCCCTGCAGATACCCTGTCCAGGATCCAGTCATATAGAAAAGTGTCCTGCAGCACTTGAAAGACTACATTATTTTGGTTCAAACATTTGATTCCGCTTGGCCTGATAGCGTATGAATACTGAAGCCTCAAATGCCAAAATAGCTTGTAGGTGTAAATGTTGTCTTAGTTGTGATGGAGCCATGCACAGAATCCATATCAATAGAAGTGCCAGTGCTTAACAGCTAGTGTAGGACAGTGATTCGAGTAGAGGATCTGGAGTTGAAAAGTTCAGGTTTACACACTTGTTGAATCATTGGGGCCAGCTATTTGTTGTTTGAATCAATGCACACCTTGTAACCCTATCTGTAGCCCAAGGTCAGGATTCAGAGCCTCTAGGTTACTTCTTTTGACATCTGAGGCAGAAAATTCCGTAGGCCACTCTTATGATAGAAACCAAGGTTAAAGAACTAACAAGTTGCCTTTTTCCTGACATTTGAAATTAAAGCCCTGAAAGGATCAGCTGTTGTTGGTAATCCCAGCAGAGTCAACCTAATCTCCTGTACCTCATAAATTTATTCTGAGGATTAAAGCTCACTCATAAAGGATGGGGACAAACATGTAATTAGTAGCCTGGTTCATTTCCTAGCTCTAAGATCTCTTCAGTATTAGACCACTCTTACAGTTTATCGGGGGGGTGGGGGGTAGGATAGACAGATAGATGATGGATGGATGGATGGATGGATGGATGGATGGATGGATGCTGTAGGATGACATGTTTTGATTGGGGGAACAAGGTAGGCCTGGGCAGGATGGTGACTCAGATCAGCAGGGACATATGTATGTAGGTAGGTCTGACCTCTTCATGTTGTCCTGGCTTGGGTAGGGTGGCATGAATTGGACTTTATTTTGTTAGCTGTCTTAAACCTATTTCAAGACTTCCATCTTTCATGGGATTCCTACCTCAAAACTGCAGGATATTATGCACCCAATTTATGGCCAGGACAATTCTGGTCCACACAAAAAATCTTTGAGGTTCTTAAGTTATCTTCTCCTGTGATACATGTTCAGCAAAGCGGCTAATGTTTGCCTTAAAATGGAATAAGGCTACTTCCATGTAGTTACCACCTGCAGAAAACAGAATATCTGAAACTAATAATGCATTAATTTTTTATCCTGTAACTAACATAGCTTTCCTGAAGAATCTGGGGAATTGTCATTTAATGAAAGGACTGAGATCTTAATTCTGCCCTTTTTAAATCACAGACCTTCCATAATTCTCTGGGAATATGAACTATTTATTTAGGGTCCTTTCCTCTCTAGTGGCTTATAGCATCTTCCTAGCATCTTCCAACTATCATTGCAGAGATTTAAAGCCTGTCCATTTACTATTTTGGAACAGTAATAGTTAGATGACTCTAGAAGAGAGTATATGTCTCTATTAGAGAAATTATGTAATTAGCTTTGGGGCATGCAAATGCTGCTGCAGTTCTTCATTCTGGAAATAATTATTCTGAAGAATTAAGACTTTATTGGGCTTTAATATTTTAAAACAGCCTTTATAATCAGCCTTTAAACCCTCTCTTCTCTCTCCTTGTACAGATTCTCTTTTACTGTACTGTTCTAGTTCCTCCTTTGTCACAACTCTTTTTCTAAAGAATAAGAAAAAATAATGCTTAGGTTTAGGAAATTTGCTGAAGTGGATTTTGAATTACCTTTCTGGCCACGTAGCATATTCCAGTGAAGTAATTTTTTGCTTGTTTAGACTCACACTTCAGTAAAGAGCCCAAGAACAGATTCTTTTGATATATTTTTTTTTTTTACTGTTGAGGTTCGTTGGAAATCCTTCTGGAGCAAGATCTTGCATCCTTCTGCACACACTATTTTCCTGGAATTTTTGGCAGTGTAAAGTGATGGATGGGTGTTTCAGCTTGAATTTCCCGTCAGCAAAAGTAAAAATACTTGAAGAGCACGCAAGTCTCTACCTAGAAACCGCAACATTTTTTCCCCACACAGTCATATTCAGGTTTCTGAAGCTGTAGAATTCCTTCTTCGTAGCAGCTGGGCCAAGGAGCAAATTCCTGCTCCTAAGAGAAAAAGGTCTGGTTATTACTAGTGCATTTTCTTTTAAAGGGCTTTTAAATGAGTGGTTTTATAACTGAGCCTTCCTATGTACTGTATTCCTAAAGCAGTGTTTCTCAACCTTGGCGACTTTAAGATGTCTGGACTTCCACCCCCCCCAATTCCCCCCCCCTGGCGGGGGGAATTTTGGGGGGTAATGGCAAGCCTCTTAAAACGACCCAGGGGAGGGAAAAATGATTTTGGA